TATGAAAATGTGACAAATCTCACATTTGTGTTTAGATCTGCTGAGAGAGTCTTTTCTTGTTTTAATTCATTCTTAATATAGCAGCAGTTGTGTTCAACATAGGTTAGATGCAGGAAAAAGTGTTGTTAAGCATTAACGGAACAATGTGGTTAAGTAATAAGAGAATTCAAAAGTATGGATCTCTTGATGTATATGTGAGTGTTTCTGTGTAGTATCTTTTATAGTTTTGTCTGTTGAAATGAGGGAAGTATTGGATAGAAATTGGACCACTGGCTAGTGCAAGTGAACATTATGCTTTTTAGAAGATTTATTGCGTTTGTGTATGCTTAAGGATTTATCCCTTTCATCTGTTATTGGCATCTTCCATTTACTAACTCCTGTCTTTGTGACAAATCTTCACATTTGTGATTTGCAGAGAGTCAAGGATGAGGTACAGAAAAGGAAGAAGCAATGTAACCTCTCTAGCAGCCATAAAAATGATCACAATGAGTTCCATGAGCGTCTAAGTCCAGCTCGGTTTTCATGCGTAGACTCTCAACTTCAACCAAAGTTATTGGTCAATGGTCACTCCTGTGACAGGTGATGATGATCGGTCCCGGTGAATACGAATCTTGAATCACTACTAACAAAGCTCTTCTGAGTTGTGTAAGCTTCCACACGTTGATGAATTTTGGAAATTTTAGTGTATAAAACGCGATGACCATCGTCTTCAAACGCTCTTTGTTGTCGCTATCGTAAAGTTTCTTAGCAAGTCCGCGTTTCAAATTCGAAATGAAGATGTCAAATTTTTTTAAAAAGTTTTGGATAAGATGATTTGACTAAAAAAAACTGATCAAATTAACGAAAGTCAACATGGGAAACGTAAATTTGACTGGTTCACGGTTGAACCGGGAGACGAAACCGGTTCAATATATGTACAATCAGGAGGAAACCGCGTTCGGTGTTTGATTCGTGCGCGTGGATTAAAAACGGGGTCACGATCAGGCGCGTGGATTGACGTGGCGATTCAGATTCCCAATCAAATCTGGACGAGCAAAATTTCCTCTGATATTGGCATCTTCCATTTACTAACTCCTGATTTACGGTTAAAACTCCTCTTCCCTCTCTCCGACGTTTCTCGTCGGAAATTTGGGTTTAGTTTGTTCTGCAGATCGGAAGAGATTCTATTGGTGCGGCGTTGACTCGATTTTCTTCTATAATCGTGCGATAATGAAGCAGAAGGGCCAGCATAAGAAGAAGAAGAAGCGATCCTGCGCCGCGAAATCTTCCGGTGATGGAACGGCGTCGGACGGGAACAAAAAAGATGTGGAGGAGGAGAGGAAAGACGGTGAAGGTACGAAGGAGTTAGAAAAAGTTGAAAAAAAAATTATCGAATCGTTAATGGAAGCCTTTTGCTCGGTTTCAATGGAGGAAGCGATGGCTGCTTATAAAGAAGCAGGCGGAGATCTGAACAAAGCCGCAGAGATTTTGTCGGATCTGGTGCGCAAGCGGCGATGATCCGTCGACGAGTTCGGTGGCGAGTGGTTCTTCGGGTCAAGGA